CAGCTTCATCCATCAGGCTGTCAGGAAGCTTAACTCCCTCCCGATTCTGCCCCCCTCTCCCCTCTCTCCTCCACGGTCCTACTGAACTCTGTCACACACACACACACACACACACACACACACACACACACACACACACACACACACACACACACACACACACACACACTCTCTCTCTCTCTCTCTAACTCACTCACTGGCCTGCACCAGTTACCAGTCACTTTGTGGAGCATTGGACTGCCACTACCTCATAAGACTTTGTTGTTACACTATCTCTTACCGTACATTACTAAATCTCCATTTGCACTATTTGCCTGGTTTGCACTCAATGTCATTTACTCATTATATTGTATAGCTTTCTTGTTATATGTAAAAATTGTATTGTATTTATTTATTTAAATTTTACTTTTTAATTATTTTACTTGCATTTTTAATCACTCTTATATTTAAATGTTCATTTGCTATTTTATCTAGGGATTGAGAGTAACGTAGTTTCTATTCTCTGTATGTCCTGTACATGTGGCAGAATTGACAATAAAGCTGACTTTGACTTTGACATCTCCTCCATTCTCATGTTATTTTACATGATTTTGTAATATGTACAAAAAAGCACAAGCGAAAGAAAATTTTCTCTGTGTAACTTGGAACCAACATGATCTCCAGGACAGATGTCAGCTGGTTCAGTGTTATATACAATTACTTCCACTATACAGAGGCAAATCGAGGCAGTGCTGAAAGCTAATGGGGGTCCACCCAGTACCAGCAAGGTGTACCTAATAAAATGTCTAGTAGCCTTCTTAATCTCTGAGGTGTGTCCCATTGTCACAGATGTATAAAATCAAGCACGTAGCCTTCTACGGAGCTTCACTAAACTAAAACAGCGTTTTGTCTCAGTGTTTTTACACTTTGAGTAAAGACGGCACTGAACACGCTAAAATTAAAAAGTGTCAGTGTTCACAAGAACGATGGTGATGCAGCCGCTGTGAAATCTGCGGTAGTGTTGCAGCTGATAAGGAGCAGATATTCTGAATATTACATAAACATCATACTGAATACTGTCAAACTGGCAACAGCCCTCAATATTCACAGTAAAGCACTTTTTTCATCATCATCACTTTACGGGGTATTAGTTGGGGTCCCCAGCAGGCGGCTTGGACACTTGTGTTCATGATTACGATAACTCAGGAACATCTACTAATAATCTCAGATAAGTTCAAATCTCAGTGACCTCGAGGTCAAAGTTAGAGGTCAGGTTTTCTAAAAAGGAAGGAAATCACTTATGTTCAAGCTTACTTGCATGTACCAGGAAGCTGAGGGGCAGCACGATCATGGTGACTGAGATCAAGTATGTGTGTGTTTTATTTATGTTATCAGCTGGAAGAAAATTTCCAAGAGACTTTTAAATAGGGATGATGTAGTTTTGTCATTATTTGTTTTGTACATTTAAAGTGTTTTTCATAGACACACGTATATGATGTTTGTGTATTTCATCATCTTACTGGGGTGATGGTAATAAAGCTCAACATTAGCTTTGTACCAGCTAAATATTCACAAAGTGTCGGACAAACTACGAGGCTACAATCAGGTTGATGTCATCCTGTGCTGATCCTTGTTATGTTTGTAAAATGTAGCTCAACAACAAACATCACTTACTTGATGCTGACAAGTTGAAGGCTTCACTCCACTCTGTTGAAGAATATGAGTCATCTCTGCGTCGACTCTTACACGTGTAGTCTCCACTGCTGGACTCAGAAACATTGAATATCCAGTAATTATTGTGAGTCCACTGTGTGGTCTGCTTGGCTCCTCTCCATCTATACTCCCACTCAGTGGTTTCACCTCCTTCCTGCACCTCACATGTCAGACTGATCGTCTCACCGCTGAATATCTGAGGCCAGCTGGGTCGTCCTTTAACAACAACCTTATTGGAAACTGTTTATTAACAGTTAAGTTACAAACAGAAACATCAGCTCAGCAGAGAAAACTTAACACTGTGTGTCTGAATGTGAATTTCAAACTAAATGACTGAACTCACAGGTTATCTTAATGGTGACATCATCACTTCTATCAGTGTAGTAAACTGGGTTTCCTCTTCTTCCTCTGCAGCGGTAGATTCCTCCTTGAGATACTCTGATTACTCTGTTTTGTTGATCATCTGCTCTGATTTGAACTTCAGCGGCATTATGGTCACGTCTGAACCACTCATATTTCCAGCCAGCAGAGCTCCCCACAGAGCAGTTCAGTGTCACACTGCCCCCTACTGGTATGATAGTTGATCCTGGAGTCAGTGTGGCCCTGGGTTTACCTGCTGTTAGGGGAAAAGAGGAAGAAAAGAAAAAAATGGATAAAAGACCATTTCATTTTTGTGTGAGAAAAGTTTTTAAAAAACAATTTAATAACAACATCATTTGAAAAAAAATACTCTCTATTTCATCAATTGGATGAGTGTTTGAACAGGCATCACAAATTAATCGTTAAAGCATCCCAGCAGTGTTAATACTGGTCTCATCCACTTTCTCCTCTCACATAGGTCTGCAATGCATTTCCATTTATAAACTACTGCTTTCCTTTTTCTGCATCAAGCCTTCCTGCTTGATTCATCAGAAGATTCTCACTAATGTAAGACTCAGATGTCAGACCACACAGAAGCAGATCATCATAGCTGCACAGACAAATCTCTACTGCAGCAGTTTAATTATGAGACTTCTAACTTTTCATTTCTTTAATTCATACCTTCAAACTTTAATATCTTGCTTTTATTTGGTATTAGTTAATCTTCTTTCAACACCATCAGAAGAAATCAAACATTTCACACATCACTGCATTAATAAAACAAACTCATCCATCATTCCTGAGATAAAATGTATAAAAACATGTAATCCATGAAGAAAATCCCTTCAAACAGTTCGGTCCCCTGTGGAGGAAAAAATGTCTGTCGCAGCCGTAAAATGTTGTTTCCACATTAGAGATGTGTTCACATTCACAGCATACAGCAGAAACTATGTTCACATCACTGGGCTCTCTACACCACTTCAGCTGCACAGACGTCACAGAGTCACCATCTCTGTTTCTAGGCTGCCATAATAAACCAGCTCAACAGTGAAAACATTCGATTTCTGCTTGTAGCTCCATCAGTCACCATGACAACATCTCCATCTGAAATATTACAACAAACCTTTTCTCCACCTACTCATCTCTGTTTAACTTCCTACAAGCCTCACTGCTCTTTCTTACACACACAAACTTTACAATGAAATGACGTCAGCTTCTGTTTAGAGTAATTATCAGGAATCAGACCAAATGTCTGTTTGTCCATAATAAACTGGCTCAGGACCTATTAGTGCTTGAAAAGGATCAGTCTCAGTATGATGACTGGGGTTGGTGAGGGTGGTAGTGATGACATGGTAATAACAATATTTGGATGTTTTTCTTTAGTCCCATATGTCCAATGGATTTAAAACTGTCTATAATGAGGCTACTATCAGGTTGATGTCATCCTGTGCTGATCCTTGTTATGTTTGTAAAATGAAGCTCAACAACAAACATGACTTACTTGATGCTGACAAGTTGAAGGCTTCACTCCACTCTGTTGAAGAATATGAGTCATCTCTGCGTCGACTCTTACACGTGTAGTCTCCACTGCTGGACTCAGAAACTCTGAATATCCAGTAATTATTGTGAGTCCACTGTGTGGTCTGCTTGGGTCCTCTCCATCTATACTCCCACTCAGTGGTTTCACCTCCTTCCTGCACCTCACATGTCAGACTGATCGTCTCACCGCTGAATATCTGAGGCCAGCTGGGTCGTCCTTTAACAACAACCTTATTGGAAACTGTTTATTAACAGTTAAGATACAAACAGAAACATCAGCTCAGCAGAGAAAACTTAACACTGTGTGTCTGAATGTGAATTTCAAACTAAAATGACTGAACTCACAGGTTATCTTAATGGTGACATCATCACTTTTATCAGTGTAGTAAACTGGGTTTCCTCTTCTTCCTCTGCAGTGGTAGATTCCTCCTTGAGATACTCTGATTACTCCGTTTTGTTGATCATCTGTTCTGATTTGAACATCAGTGTTTTGGTCACGTCTGAACCACTCATATTTCCAGCCAGCAGAGCTCCCCACAGAGCAGGCCAGTGTCACACTGCCCCCTACTGGTATGATAGTTGATCCTGGAGTCAGTGTGGCCCTGGGTTTACCTGCTGTTAGGGGGAAAAGGGGGAAATGCATTATTCATTATGAACTCATACAAATATAGAAAAGGGAAATTTAAAGATTTGGTTTAATGTGGTGAAACTTTCCACCCACATTACTCTTTATCATATTTTTCTATTTATTTTCTCTCTGTGTTCTTTGATTTTCTTCTCGTGTCTTTCTCAACATGTGGATATTGTTTCTGTAACTCTGGTTTAAATCTCTAAATAATCACAGTATAAATGTTTGCCTGACCTGAAAGAGTCACACTGATGTAAACTAACACAGGTCACTGCTGAAGGACACACAATGATGGTTTCACAGCTCTGTGTGGTTTTTGGTTTAAATAACAGAAACATCAGTCACCTTAAACTTTATTAAACTTTTCATGTTTCTTCCTTTTCTTTGTTTTAAAGTTTAGAGTCTGTGAGTATTTTATCACTGTGTGTACTGTGAGTGATGTAACAGGTAAAATCAGTTTCCTGGTTAAAGTTTATGCTTTACAGCAACAGAAACAAGTTTCCATGACAACATTATTTAGTGTACATGTCACTGACGACTTACCCGTCACAGTTAGAGAGACGATGTTACTGGTCTTTGTTTTCTGTGATGTCGTCCTGTGAGCAGAGCAGCTGTATTTACCACTCTGAACTGTAGATGCAAGTTTTAAACTGAGGTCTTTGTTTGTGTTGGAGTTTAAAATTTCTTGACCATCCTCCATGACTTTGTATTCCCAGTCAGTGTGTTTTCCTTCCTTCACCTCACATTTGAAGCTAACAGTCTCTCCGATGAAAAAAATTGTCGAGCTGGGTTCAACAGTTAGCACAGCATCTAGAATCCAACACAAACACAACATCATTGACCTAAAACACTTTTATGTACTTTACAAATCAAAATCTGTTCTGACATGTTCATAAACTTATAAATATATTGAGAAATAAAAATAGAAATGGAAAGTGTTTAAGATTGATGCACTAACATTAATATTTACTAAATAAATAAAAGTGCAAACTGTTCAGTCACCTTGAGCGTGTCCGCTGCAGAGGAGCGTACAGAGAACTGCAATAAAGGAAGAAACTTCACACATCATCAAACTGAAGACTCACTCAAACATGGCATCAGTCAAACACACCTGGTGTTACCAGAGGCTGCTGTGATTGGTTTAAATTATATATTTAAGGTAAAATGCATCAAATTATCACTGATGAAGAAACAAACCTTTCTTAGATAAATTAAACCAGCGTCAGTGCACTGAAATCTAATCCAGTCTGCAAACAACCATGTTGAGAACAAAACATGAACTGAAATGCTGCAAATGACTGAAACTCTGTCATTTTACTAAAACATGTTCATCAGTCAATGAATCAAAGGAAGAAGTGATGCACTGACAGAATAGGCCCAGCTCACAGAGGAAAGTGGGTCCCATCCTCACATCCAGCTGTGACAGGTCTGAAAACTTCTACGACTTTGTGTGAAGAGAAAGAAGAAGAAGCACACGAGACGAGAACTGTGAAGAAAACAAAGACTTTAAAACTTCTTCTTTATCTGCTTCCTTCCTTTTACTCAGAACTATCACACCTTAACAAGCTCTGACTACAGCATGCTTTGACATGTTTGGTGCTGCAGAAACAAATTAGTGAGATTTTTATGAAACTAAGTAATAATTTACTTAGTTGTAGTTGTATCATACACATGTGAGCTGAATAATAAATAGACAACTTGAACAGATTATAAGTCCAAGTGAAGCTTTAAATGTGAAGTACTTTTGTTTTACATCCAGAAACACAACAACAACACAGCTGTCTGCACCTTCACCTGCAGGTCTCATACACACACTGATCACATATATGCACATGTTAAACACTCTTTGTCATAAATCACATTCAGACACAGTATTAAATAAATCTAATTCTCAAAACCGTTCCACTCCTGAAACTAATAATTCATTTGAACCGTTAAAAGGTAGAACAGGCAGAGGCAAGTTTGTGGACACTTTTAAAATATTTAATTTTCTTTTAGTTTCTTTTTACTCTTTAAATTACTAAATTAATAAAATGCAGTCATAAAGTTATAAGTAAGTTTACCCTGGATGGTGAAAGTGGCCTCTATCAACTGTTTTTCTTTGTTAGGTATAGTTAAGAGTTTTGATGTATTAAACATCAAGACCATCAAAACATTTGAAATCCTGGAATAACTGCATAGGAAGTTTTCAAATTAAAGTCTTGGAGCTCGACTGACTTCTTACAGAAACAGCGATGGACATTTTGTTTCCTTTGTCTGCTCCTCGTCTGCTTGTTGTGTTTGCTGGGAGCTTTGACACCAATAATAGTTACTCTCACAGATGCTCCAGCACACAAACACGTCATTCTGATGGGTTCAAACTGCTGTAGAAAAGTGATTAAAACCATTAGCAAGCACAAGAAGAGACATTTAGTATTTTCCTCCTGCCATAGAAATATTAATCAGCTGCTGATAATTTTCAAGGAGCCACGAATCACTGATTATATTCTAAAGGCTGCTGCACAAAGTCACTACATTGCTTCAAAATACAACAAACACGTTTCTATGAAGCTTTGTAAACAGTTAAAAACAGATTGATAGATGATCAGCCCAGAGACGTAACACTTACTCAGAGCAAATGGTCACAGCAGGAGAAAGCACTTCTTCCCACAACAGTGAAATCTTTCACTAAAAATACTTTATTTATCATTTTAACTGACAAACTTCACTAATGTAAAGTCATCACTGCAGAGTCTTTGAACATGAAGTTCAGTTCTGGTCAAATGTTCACTCAAATTCAGGAAGTGAGATGAAGTCCGCCTCCCTCCCTTCTCTTGTCTGTTTCCTTAAAAGTAGCTGTAACTGTTGTATTCAAAGAGATGAAAGCTGTTAACTTTGCCACTCAGTAACCACACAGTGAGCTACTTCCTGAGGCTCATGGGAAATGTTTTTGAGATCGAACAAACTTTGACCGACTTTAAAATGGCAGGTCGTTCAGACTGCAGCAGATAATCGTTCAGTTACAAGCACAGACTGAAACTCACTGAGATGAAACCGAAGAGACACTTTAACTCAAATCCAAAATCCATTTCCTATTTCTTGTAACTGTTGTATAGCTATGACAGGGAGAAACAGCTGAGGTATGCCAGGATTGGTATACAGTTGTAGCAGTAATTCTCTTCATGCTTTCCTTGCAGATGGTGGTTGGGTCATGGGTTCACCCATATGGAAAAGATATATATAAATCTTATAAAGTTTGTATCTGTCTTGTATGAAACTTGTATGAAAAGCATATAAGAGTGAAAACACATATAAGATCCCTTGAAAAATTAAATAAAGAAACTTGTATGTTTTGGATACTTACTAAAAAAAATATATGAAAGTAATGAGAAAATGGCCACTTTCATGAGTAAATCATATATGTTTTTACTATTTCTTTTCCATATGTGCATAATGGAGGGTCACATTTCATGTTGATAGAATTTGTTTTTATGCTGAGTTTGGTGTTTTTGTTTGTTTGTACTGCAGTTTGCTCACTAACAGGAGACTCCCAGTGCCTTAGCAGTGACTTGTTGGCTTTCTGTACTGTTTTATTATTTGCCCCTTTTTAATGGTGACTCATTGTGAGCATGTTGCTGCAGGTATTCTGAAGATAGGTGTGCACGTGTGTGAAATTCAACAGAACGCTCTGCTGTGCTGCTTTCATGTATAAGAGATTATGCCTCAGAAAAAAACAATAGGTTTAAATCTTTATTTGAACATTGTGAACACAACAAACACTAATAAACAACAAAACAAAACAATGAACCAACAGAATAGGAGTACAGATAACTTTAACTGTCATGAAATATAAGATCAGGTTTTCCCTGAGACAGTTCTAATTATGAGGTGATAAATGCCGGTTTTCAGGAAACATGTTCAACAAACTCAACGGCAAATCTGAGTTTTCAAGTCCCAAACAGCTGATCAGACGAAGTTCAACTGAGTGTACTCTGAGTTAAGTGTAGGGCTGTTCGATATAATGATATACATCGGATGATATGAAAACGTCTATGGTTTCATATCACGCTATCGCTTGTTTTGTAAAATAAACTGTTTATGATCAGTTTTTTTCATCATTTTGAAGCCACTGTTTTTACGCGTTGGTGTTAGCAACAATGACGGTGAACCCAGCGTGTGGCTCCGCCATCCGCTTGTTTATTTCCCACATAAACCTTTCACAATAAAACTGAAGATCCTGTTGAGATTTTTTCAAAATAAGCTGAAATGATGATAAACAGATAAAGCAGTCAAAACAAATCTAGGACCTTATTTCTAAACGAGGCATGTAGCCTGGTTATGAAAAGTCTGACACGGACCAGAAAACTGTACCATGCAAATTATGCAGGAAACCGGTTCCCACCTCAGACTCAAACATGGAAAAGCTTGTCAACTACCAATGCAAGAATCATGTGAAAGAGTATGGAGAGAGTTTACAAATGAGAAGCAAAAAGAGCCAGGTGCTCAAAACAGGGTTCAGACACCTATCTCAGGGTCAAATTCAAGCACTTTTTAAACACTTTCAAGGTCCTTTTTCAAGCTTTTCCAACCCCCCCACCGCCACTGCCCAAAAAAACCAAGAATGTGTGTTTCAATTCGCATCACCTCAATAAGACCATGTGAAAATTAAAACAAATCATCCTAGGTGATCTTAAACACCTTTGTTCCCCTTTTGTTAAGACAGAGAAAAACACACCACACAAAAATACTGCAAAAGGAGGTTGCCTTATATACATAGTGTATGAACTCAAAATGCACATTTCACTTAAAAATGAAGATGTGAAAACGTGAACAAATCAACTTGTTAGAGATATTCATCTCCTGTTGAAAAAAAAACCCAAAAAAGAAATAAAGAAGTCTTCTCATCAGATATTGATGCTTCTTTCCTGTGTGACAAAAAATAAGAGAAATATGTTTGTTTGTTTGTTTTCTAAGTTAATTGCCAATAAAACTGTTTTATTGCTGAAGTCCTAAATGATCACTTTTAAAGTGTTTGTGCCAATAACATCATGTACAGTCAGACAGGCATGGACAACAGCACTGACTGAGAGGCTTTGAACAGATCACGTAGTTCAATTCAACATATAAGACTTTAAGAATGCACAAGCATCTACTTAAAATCTATTTAATTTATCATCTGTGATGTTATTATGTATAATTCCAATGTATTTTGTTCATCTCCCTTAAATAAACAGGCAGCCTAAAGTATGAAATATTCATATAAATGTGTGAACTGTCTCTGTGGCTGATTGTGCCCCACAGGCCTCAGTGTGAGCTTGAAGACATTTATAATGTTTAAGTCGTTTAATGTGTCGGTGCTGACGATAAACACATTTTGAATGAAAGCCGGGGAACTTTGGTAGCACAGAAACAAGTGGCTATTCTTTGTGACCATATGGATCAGTCATATTACCATTATTTCACCCAAAGGCATCAAGTTAATACTCAAAAAGCTGCAGCAATACACACAAATATAAACAGTACTTGGTGACAACTTTGCTTTTAGCCTTTAACTCTCTGGGGTCCAGGGTTTAATTGGCCATTTCTGACTACTTTTGATTTGGCCTCTATATTTCACCTTTAAAAACGGTTTATCTTGCCAATCTGTTATTTACTCATTTTGACATATTGTATCAGCACAATTTATCTAAATTCAGACAAAATTGAAAACATGAGTAGAAAGTGATATTTTTGACTGTAAAAACCACAAGCATGTTTAACGAATGATTTTCATAACTTGAAATGCAAATAGAAATTGTACATTTTTAAAAAATATGCACAAGTTTTGCAAACAAAGTTTTATGGTTTACCTAAAAGTGCAGCCAAGGCTCAGATGTTTTTTATATAACCATTTCAAACTATTTACAGAACAAAACGGTGCTCTGCATCAAATAAGAAGGCACACAAATTATTTATGCAACTCCAAAAAATAGTTTGTGTCCACTCTAACACAGATGAGAACAGCACAGGGATAAACCTGCAGGTCTGACAGCAGGTGTGTCACTCGGCGTTGGCACTGCAATCTGCCTTTGGTGGCTTTAAGGCAGCAACTGTAGGGTTGCCAACCGTCCCTTAAAAAATGGAATCGTCCTGTATTTAGAAACAAAAGTACACGTCCCGTGTACTTTTTTAGGGTACATGGGACTAAAAGTGTGTCCCTTATTAGCTCAATAAGTCCCGTATTGAGCTAATAAGGGACGCACTTTGTCCCGTAATACAGTGAGAATCAAAAGTAGTCTATAAATGTTTATGGAATTAACGCTTTGTTTGAAAACATAATTCCCAGCCCCTCTCCTGCTTTGTGACCAATGAGCTGACAGCACACTTATGACAATTCGAGTATGACAATTCAGACCGCTTATCTCATTGGTCGAGGAAAGGTCGCTTGCGGAGAAAATACCGGAAGACAACAGATGACCACAACAAGAAGCATGGCCAACAGGGAAACAAACGCCGACACTGCGGTGCAAGTCTCGGACGACAGTAAACCTAAAGCTGGGCAGACACTGTGCGATTTTTTCAGTCACGTTATTCAGCTCCTGCTCAAACTGCACGATTGACTCGCAGGGGTTAGAAGTTGGTAGGTCACGATGCAGGTCTCACACTATACCGCCCGATGCTCTGATGCGACCTGAGTGCTCACACTGTGCCTCCATAAAATGAAGGTTATAACAGAAAATCTGTCGCTATCTCTCTCTGTCTTTCACTCACACAGACACACCACCACCATCAACTTTGCTAAATTGCTAATGAAAAACATTGATCAGGCAGCTGTGATTGACCAGCAGTGTAAATTCAACTATTTTCACGGTTGTTGTGGTCGTGATTAGGGATGGGTATCGTTTAGGTTTTATCCGATACCGGTGCCAAACCGGTACTTTTGAAACGGTGCCGGTGCTTAAACGGTGCTCAAACCGGTGCTTAAAGAATGGAGAACACAAAATTGGTCCAAAAACCTCTCATGTTCAGCTGTTTTTTTGTAAAAAGATAACAATGTTAGCCTTTTCTGCAGCTATGGGGCATATATGGTATCACTCTCGGCTGGAAGCAGTGCTTAAACAATGGGAAAAAAACAATCTTTGTCCAAAAACCTCTCATGTTTAGCTGTTTCCCTCTTTTTCTTTGGTCATTTTAGCCTTTTTAGCCAGGGTGAAGGGAGTATCTGCCATCAAACAAGAAGACAGCCGCATGTAGCTATGATGATGTTTGCTAGTTCACCTTACATGCATTAATGTAATAACGTGGTTAGCCTACTCAATGTAAATTACACACGAACAACATTAAGCTACTCACGCAGAGAAGAACGGCTGCTGCTGCCATCATCATCCGTCATCATTTCTGCTACACTGGCAGGGCTAGGGGCCAGGACTCCCCTCTTCGGGTTTTTGGGGGATGCTGCTAACTCTGGGTCCGATAACAGGCAACCCACACGCAGTAGATGCGCTCGGTGTGAGGTCTCGCAGCAAGCTATCAAATACGGCGCATTTCTCGGCTTTTAAAAAAAACACTATGCATCGCCAGGTGTTTCATCGGATTTGAGGTGTTACCTCCTTTGACAGTATCACAGTATCAGCTTAAAGCACTTGTTGCAGGCTGCTGAGTTTTCATATTTTGCTGTGAAGTACAGCCAGACTTTAACCGCTTCGCCTTGGGCATTTTTAATCTGTAGCTCTGCTCTAAAAGAACGTATGTACCTGGACCCGCCTACTATCCTCGGAAACGTAAAATGATTGGCTAGAATCTAAAGTGTATCACAGCTCAGGAAAAAAAAGCACCGAAATAAAGCACCGAAATGTGCGCTGCTTTTCGGTCTGGTTACTACCGTTTATGTCAGAACCAGTGCCATCATGGCACCGGATACCGGTACCCATCCCTAGTCGTGATAATTTTGTGAGGCCACATCGAAAAGGCTCGGATGAGCTTTCCAAAGTTCTACAAGTTGTGCCTCCATCGCTTGTGTCCAGATCACACGCCGCACAGCCGTGCTGCTCCATCTTTTTCACCGACGTTTACGTGTTTGCAGTGTGAGCAGTGTGAGCGGCTGCGGTGACACCCTCATGAGCGATTGATGATCGGGAGCTGGTCGTGACGTGTTAATCGCTTCTCGTTACCCCACGTATACTACACGACGCACGATGAAGGCCAAAATCGGGCTGATCACCAAATCGGTCGCATGACTCAAAAATCGGCTCAAAATGGGCCAAAAATCGCACAGTGTGAGCCCAGCATTAGAGCAGCAATGTTTGTTGCTCAGAGAAAGAAAAAAAAGCCTGCAAAAGGAGGAATGGGAAAAGGAAAACACCTGGCTGGAAAAGTGCACGATAACACCTTTAAAGCACACTGCACTGTGTGCCGGCGCACTTTTCCCATAGGCATGCTTCTAATGGTGCTTCTAATCTTCTAATCTAGTGGTGGGCACATGAAGAACATGAGGGGCGTGAAAGCTCGAGGAACCCTTAACCAATTTCTTGTCCACCAGGCCACGGCAGAAGCAGATATGGTATGTAAACACTGGTTTGTTTTTTTTAAACCCTCTGGTTAAGGTTAATATGGGCATGTGCAGTGAATATCAGCGCTATGTGGCCAGAAGTGTGATAATATAATTTATTTTGTGTAATAAACAACTGCAAGGATAGCTGATTACAACAAATAGATCACTAATACATAAAAGTAGATGAATAATGATGATGAGTTAAGATGAGTAATCATGGGAACAAGTGGGTTTACAAACAGGAGCAGCTGATTAGCATTAGAAAAGCTGAAATAAAACCTCAACTGAAGCCAGTTGTACTAAATGCACTATATGTGCACTGTTACAAGAATATTTTTGTTCTATTGCTTTCTATTAATTTATATAATCTTAAGTTAAGCAGGACAGAGTTCTTTTAAAGAAAGATTTACTTATATTCTCAAAAGTTAAGCATGACAGGCTTCTGTTTAAGAGAGAGTCCTGTTTTACTGTGTTAATGTTGTCATTTTGAGCTAAAAATAAATGGCTAAATGATCATTTGTTTCCCATATGGTCATATCACAAAGAATATGCATCTACTTTAATCAAATTAAAGTCAAATGGTTAAAAAATAATTTCACACACAAAAAAAGAGCTACCGCACTAGGAAGGGTGAAGACAACTGGGTTGCCCGGCCCTGGCCACGAGGTGTCCCTTATTTATTTTTCAGGGAGTTGGCAACCCTAAGCAACTGTGATGTTCACTAGTAGAACTGACAAAAACAACAAAACAACGACTATACTACACACTAACTACCAGTTATGGGAATAACGGCGTTAATTTTTTCAGTAACGAGTAATCTAACTAATTACTATTCCTATCGTTACAACGCCGTTACAGTTACTAACAAGAAAATGCGGCCTGTTACTATTTTTCAACAAACAGACGGTTGAAGCTGTGTTCAGCTTACCGCATCTTATATCAGTTGCACGGAAGTAGCTGTAAGTAATCTGGACAGTACAGCTGTAATCACGATCACTGTCTAGCACAACACCTGGAGCTAAGGGTGCAAAACAATCGCATGAGTGCTGCTGTTTGACTGAGGAAGAATAAAGTGGTTGTGGTAAGCCAATCACATGACCACTTAAAGACAAAGCAACAAGGTGATAAATACCAGTTTTTAAATTGTGTTGATAGGCCACGTAAACCAGAGTCATGATAAACAATATATACACGGTGTTTCGTCACGTTAGCGCTAGCAAGCACTCTCTGCTTATGAGCAAAAAAACCAAACAAACAAAAGAACCGGGGACGTTTTAGGAGTGACGACGAGAGAGAGAGAGAGTTTTGAGATGTGAGAGATTTATGATGTTTAGCGTGTTTGGAGTGTGTAGTTAATGTGTTGTCTTGTGTAGTTAGTGTGTAGTGTTGTGTGCCAGAACAATGAGGCGACTGCTGTCTCCAGGTAGAAACAGGAGTGATACACCTGCTGCTGTCAGACCTGCAGGTATCAGGCTGTGATGTTCTCCTTTATAGTGGACAGAAATTATTGTTTTGGAGTTGCACAAATAATTTGTGTGGCATTGAATGAAGAACAGCTGATTGTTCTGTAAATAGTTTGAAATGGTTATTTAAAAAAAATCAAGGTAAAAGGTAAATGGCTGCAAATAACTTTGTTTGCAAAACTTGTGCAAAATTGACAATTTATATTTGCAAGTTATGAAATATGATTCAATAAACATGTTTGTGGTTGTTACAGTAAAAAATATAACTTTCTACTAGGATTTTATGTTTTTTGTCTGATTTTAGATCAATTGTGTTAATACAGTATGTCAAAATGAAAACATAACTGTAAATTCAGACACGTGAGATTGTGCTGAAAAGGATGATACCAAACAAGGCAAAGTAAATAGTTTTTAAAGGTAAAATGTGGAGGAAACATCAAAAGTAGTTAAAAATAGTTAAAAAAAAATTTCGCTTCTACATTTTGTGATTCATTTTATTTTATTTTTTTTATCTGATACGAAAACTATTCAGTCAGGTAGTTATTTGTGGTGAATGAAATACAGTTACTTTCAAGCACTTTTAAGCACCACATCTGAAATTCAAGCACTTTTCAAACCTTGAAAAGACAACATTAAAATTCAAGCATTCTCAAGGATTTCAAGCACTCGTACAAACCCTGACAAAATAAACCTTAGACTCAAACGTTAGAACAGGCCTTTACCTTTTCTTTTTTCTTTCTTTAAAGCCACCTACTATCTGTCACATTGTAAAATCATAAAGTTGTCCAAAAAAAAAAAAAAAGAACAGGCTTTTCTCAGCAGCACGCTATGTAGCAAATATTAAAAAAAGGAAAATAGAGGCCGTTACAAATTATATCTGAATTTATAGTTTAATTCATCTGTCAAAACACTCAGCATAAGGTACACAATGCCCAGCTGAAAACACACGAGTTGCCCAAGATTCACATAATTTATAGTAAATGTAAATTTTTTGTGATATATATCGTTGTCGGGACGATAAATGTCTTATATGGGTATCTGAGATTTTGGTCACATCGCACAGCCCTAGTTAAGTGTGTGGTTGAGTAAAGAAAGGAGCCAACATGATATCGGAGCCTTCATTTTAATCCAATGAACAGAAGAACACAGTGCTGACAATTTTGAAAAAAAAAAAAAAAAAAAATAGGGGTAAGTCACAGCCGTCCCACATTTTCTAAGCATGAAACTTTAACCAGTATGAATTCTCATCATGTGCTTCTTTAAGTTTGCGCTCTGATTGAACTTTTTTCCACAGCTGTTACAGCAATATGGTTTCTCACCTGTGTGGATTACTAAGTGACGGTCCAGTGCCGTTTTATCTGCAAATGGTTTCTCACAGTTTAAACAAACATACGGCTTCTCACCTGTGTGACATCTTATATGACGCTCCAGTGCTGCTTTCAAGAGAAAACCTTTCCCACAGGCGCTACAAGAATACCTCTTCTCCCCTGTGTGACGTCTTATGTGAGTTTTCAATCCTGTTTTCTGATTGAATCGTTTCCCACAGATGCTACAAGAATATGGTTTCTCACCCGTGTGAAGTCTCATATGTGTAGGCATGTAGGCTTTAGAGTGCATTTTTTTTCCACAGATGCTACAAGAATACATCTTCTGACCTAGATAACTTGTTAAATGATGATCCAATGCAGATTTCTGATCAAATCTTTTCCCACACGTGCTACAAGAATACATTTTCTCACTTGCGTGAATTTCTAAATGTGCAGCGAGGCAGGATATAAACTCGAAAGTTTTGCCACAAGTTTCACATTTTAGGGACATTTTCCTTTCAGTTTTACGTTGGCTCTCTTTGCCTCCTCTTTTACTGTGACGTCTCTTTCTGTAACGTCTCCTTTTCTTCAGCTCTTCATTTCTAGTTGATCCTGAGTCCACATGCTGGCTTTCTTCATGATCTCGGCTCTCTGGTTCAGGAGAGCTGTGAGAAAGGAGCTGCTCACTGTTTGGTTCTGGCTCACTGTGGGAACTTTCCTCATAAGATTGAGTCACCATGAAGGTATCAGCCTCCTGCTTCAGTCCAAGTTGCTCTTCCTCCTGACTGCTGCAATGTCCCTCCTGTTCCTCCTTAATCTGTGGAGGCTCTGGGTCCTCCTCGTCCAGGCTGGAGTTTCTCTCTTGGGTACAGACTTGCTGGTCTGCAAGAACCTCCTCCTCACAGACATCCTCCTGTAGGAAGTCTGAGAGGAAAAACAAACTTTTGAGGAAATATATTATAAGATAATGCAGGAAGGTATACATACACACAACAGTGATAAAGAAAACAAAAAACAAAGGCACAAGTAAGATTGACACTGTCAAAGAGAGTACAAAAACAATGCTCGGTTTTCCATCTAGCTTCACCTTCCAGACCTCCTGCCTCCATCATCCCTGGATCACCCAGGATGGACTCACTGCTCTCGCTCATGCCATCAGGATATTCACCCGGACCTCTCTGACCACAGTTTTAAATGTTCAACTTTTTTTTTTTTAACTGCTGTCCAACATTAATTTGTAAATGATTTACTAGCAATCTTGTCAAAACAAAGTTCTTTACTTGGAGCACAGTTCTACAAGAAAGGCAGTGGGGAGAGGGGACACTTGGGCAGTACATTTATCACGGCATATAATGTCCGTATCAGAGCACTGGCTATGAATTTCAGACGGATCAGGCCTTAACTTAGCAAAAAAGTTATCAATTGTTCTTTTCATCTTTTCTCATTACCCACAGCTACATCCACTTCTGTTAGGCCTAGGCTACTCACTAGGGCTGTGTATCGTCACTGATTTCTATAATCCATTTCTTTCATTTCTGATCATGTGAGACTTCGTCAGAGGTGTGAGCATCACAGCAGATGCCTTTGAGTCAAAGTAACTGAGAATAAAACACAGAAAAACATGAAGATTTTCCTGACCTGGCTTTTTATAGGCGATAACCGCCTGAAAAATATTCTGCAGTAGATCAAAAACTGAAGAAAACCATTAATCAACATACAGTGGGGCAAAAAAGTATTTAGTCAGCCACCGATTGTGCAAGTTCCCCCACCTAAAATGATGACAGAGGTCAGTAATTTGCACCAGAGGTACACTTCAGCTGTGAGAGACAGAATGTGAAAAAAAAAAATCCATGAATCCACATGGTAGGATTTGTAAAGAATTTATTCGTAAATCAGGGTGGAAAATAAGTATTGATATCATGATAATGTTTATTAAATGTGAAATGTAGTTTTGATCTTTTGCTACTGGTTCAGTCAGAAACCTGCAGCAAACAAACAAACAAAGACAAATACGTAAACACGGAGACGCAGAATGTCGGCGTGCCCATGTATGTCATGTCGGATGAGAAAGCCGACATCTCACTGATTCTGATGTGTACGTGGGTCTGCGCTCTGTGTTTAAGTCTTTGTGCAGAATCAGGGCACCTGCTTTCATTCACTGATTCAGCTGTTTGGTTTAACCAGCTTTAACCTGAGATTGTGCCATTTTTGGCTAAAAACATTTATACTCGATTCAGGATTTAGTTAATCGATATGCTTTTATTCACTTTCAAACACAGACGTGAAGGGCTACAGGAATATCTGGACCACGGCCAATGGGAGAGGTCCCACGGTTTAGACCACGATATGGGCATAATGTGTGTCTGTTGTTGACCACACAGAGACTTTCACAGTTGCTGAGACTTTTTTTCTTTTGTACTGAACAGCTGGTTGCACTGGTGCGACCGAATTTTTTTAAGTCACACCACTGAGAAATTTGGTCGCACTCTAGAGCCCTGGTTTTACATACCTATTCTGTGTAACTTTATCACAGGTTTGCAGATGGTCTCCATCAGTGTGAGTCGCTCTTCATCAGTCCAGACGATAATGCCTTCAGCCTCCTGCTTCAGTCCAAGCTGCTCTCCCTCCTGAATGCTGCAGAGCTCCTCCTGTTCCTCTTTAATCTGTGGAGGCTCTGGGTCCTCCTGGTCCAGACTGGAGTTCATCTCCTGGTTACAGACCTGCTGCTCATCCAGACCCTCCTCTTCCTCACAGTCATGATGATGTGGGAGGTCTTGAGGTACAAAGAAACAAAAGACCAATAACCAATAATGTAATGATACAAAAACACATAAAGACACATGTTTAATATCAAAACCTGAATAAAAGGTGATCATTTACACATGTGCATTGCTATAGGCTGTGTCCCATCATGTTTTAAACAAGCTATAGTTCAGCCTCTTCTTAAAAACACAATCTGGACCCAACTGTTCTGACCGATTACAGGCGAATTTAGAAGCTTCCCTTTCTTTCAAAAGTTCTGGAGAAAGTAGTCCATTTACAGCTGCAGGCCCACCTTGATCTTAAAGTGATCTCTGGAAAGTTTCAAACAGGTTTTAAATAACTGCACAATAACTGCTTTTAAGGGTTTTAAATACATTCTTTTAACTCTGGACTCGGGCAGCCCTGCTGCCCTCTTGTTGTTGGACCTGACAGAAGCTTTTAACACAGTTGAACATGATATCGTGTTATCCTGGAATCATATGCTGGCTAAAAGAGTCTGCTCTTCAGTGGTTTTGGCCCTACTTATCTGGAAGCACTTTTTATGTCAACATGGACCCTTACAGCTCCAAAATAGCCCCTCTTAATTATAATGTACCTCATAGTGATGGGTCGTTCGCGAACGAAATGGCTCTTAGAGCCGGCTCTTTGAAGTGAACGACGCGAGCCGGCTCCTTATCGCGAGCCGTCACGCGGTTTTTTTTTTCCCCTCTTTTCTTTCTCTCAACCTCTCTCTCGCACTTTTTTCCGCTTCACTCTGCACGCGAGTCTTGTGCTTTATGCTGGGCAGAGGGGGGAGGGGCGGTAGTTACACTAAGTAGCACAGGAACGGATCCAGAGGGAGAGAGAGCCAGGGACAACAACGTCACATACATAAGGTATAGTAATCATCCACAACTATTTTCGGTTGCAGATGATAAAGGATTCAGAAAGTTTATTCATGCAGGCCCATATGACAGAGAATATGCATGTTCTGTTTGTTGTCATATTATAATTTATATTTAATTGTGTTGTGTTTTGCAGTGTTTTGTGTTGTTTCACTTTAAATTTGTAAAAGGAAAAAGCGGAAAATTTAAATAATTAAAAGTTGAAATGTGAACAGTTGATTTTTGTATTATATGATTTATTTATTACATTTTTTGTGGAGTGAATAAATAAAAGTATATTTACGGTGGTCCCTAGAGACAAAGTACGTACAAACTCCAAAACACGTAAAAACTCAGAAGCACATAAAAACTCAAAACACGTACAAAAGACAACAGAAGTGCTTCAGGATGCTGGGCGCAGTGTGGAGCTTTTGTTATCTTGTGCCTACAGAAGCCAGCAAGTACCAACGACCGGATTTGGTGTGTGGTAGTAACAGATAAATGAACTTTTTTTAAAATTATTTGAATATATATGAGTGCCTGTGTATAAATACACAAACAATACACACATGCTTTCAATTGTGTAATTTAAGTGATCTAGTAGCTCTGCTTTGGAAGTTCAGTTCATGCTAGAAATGTGTTTTATATTTATATATAAACATATATAAATAAAACCACTTTTTTACGTTAGTAATTCCTTTTGTGCACAATTTCATATTATTGTTAATAATAAATTAATTAAAGCAACAAAACAACCTGAAGAGCTGGTTCGGAGCCGAAAGAGCCGGATCTCTAAAAAGAGCCGGAAATCCCATCACTAGTACCTCAAAGCTCTATTTTTGGTCCTGCCTTGTTTGCACTGTATATGTTGCCACTGGGGTCTATTTTCTTCCTCCCTGGGACGTCTGCAAGTTGTTCAAAATGCTGCACCAAGGCTTCTGACCAAATCCACTAAGTATTCACATGTGACAGTGTTGCTAATACAGCAGCACTGGCTCCCAATTCAATTAAGAATCAATTTTAAGATTCTGGTTCTGACTTTTAGAGCTCTTCGTGGACAAGCACCAGCTTACATTATTGAACTTCTACAGCCTTTTGTCCCTAGCACAGGGGTGGGCAACTCCAGGCCTCGAGGGCCGGCATCCCTGCAGGTTTTAGATGTGTCCTTGAACCAGCACAGCTGATTTAAATGGCTAAATTAGCTCCTCAACATGTTCTGAAGTTCCCCAGAGGCCTGGTAACGAACTAATCATGCGATTCAGGTGTGTTGACCCAAGGTGAGATCTGAAACCTGCAGGACACTGGCCCTCAGGGCCTGGAATTGCCCACCCCTGTCCTAGCAGGGGCCATATGTTTAGGGCCTGCTTGTTATACAACATGCAAGGCTAAGAACTAAGGGAGACAGAGGTTTTGCCAGTGTGGCCACAGACTGTGGAACTCTCTCCCTCTGAGCTTAAGATCTGTGGAGTCAGTAGTCTCTTTTTTAAAAACTAAAAACACATTTTAGAATTGCTATTGGTTAATTTAGTCTGTTTTGTTTTATGCCTTGTTATTTAAGACAAAAGCACTTTGATCTTTTGTCTACTTGAAAGGTGCTATATACACAAAATTCTTTGAAAGTCATTTTTTCAAATGGCTTGAAGATTTATCTGCCTATCTGCAGAGGAGCTCGAGAAACTTCCAGTATAACTTAAATCTCACGTGTGGGAGCATTTATAATATACTTACATAAAGCTACTTGACACAACTGTTATGATTTGGCGCTGTATAAATAAAACTGGATGAAGGCAACACAGCCTGTTAAGAATGTCTGAGCCTATCACCTTTAATAACAGATGCCATTAAAACAGTTTTCCATTCAAAATAGAGATTTTTCTTTTCCTCTGAATTCATCACCAAAGTAACAGCGTCCTGCTCTCAGCTAACATCGGCTTAGAGACATCGTGGAACAACATGTCCATAAGATAAGATAACCTTTATTAGTCCCACACGTGGGAAATTTGTTTTGTCACAGCAGGAAGTAGACAGTGCAAAAGTTATGACGCAAAAATTAGAATACAATAAGAGTCTAATTACTAATACGTTAGTTATAAAAAAAATTACGAGAAAAAAGATAAGAAAGAAAGAAACTCAGAATGAGCAGAGCTGCTGTAACATACCTATGATGTGTGAGTTTGTCGGGTTTCCGGCTGATATCCAGCAGTCTGTGCTGACGGTTGATCTCCTCCTCATACTGGACGATGGTTTTTTGAACCTCTGAAAAGATTTCTTCACAAACAGCAGTTAGTCTCTCCCTGATGAACTCTCTCAGATACTGAGCTGAACTCATTGCTGCTTCAACTCAGGCTGAGCGGATCGATACAAGCATCGATAGGTTGTGCCATCAGATCCACACTTGCGTTGCAGTCTCTTCTGTGTCGAGGGTTCTAAATGTGAGCCGACTAACCCGAAACCAGGAAGATTTTTGTGAAGAGCTCTTGTGGCGCTTGTTGATGACGTCGTCCCGATTCCCCAAACGGAAGCTGCGTTCATGTCCCAGTGTAAAACTGGGACTTGTGACCTTCCTCCGTATACCTGCTTTTATCCAAATAAAATGGATCGTGTTTTTAAACAAACTTGTTGAACTTGAAGAGTTTTCTTCTTCTTCGGCCATGTTCTCTTAATAATGCACACACTTGGTGGTTGATTACTTTTCCCGTTTCTTTTATTGTTAGTAACACAAGAGGGAAAACCATACATTACTTCAGCAGTTCGCGCTTTGGAACAACAGGAACAGGAAGTGATCTATAATCACCAAAATAAAATCCTTTTCAAAATAAAATGACAATCAGAAAACTTCTTTCACAACATAAAATAAATTAATATATTTAGGCAAGGCAAGGCAAGTTTATTTGTATAGCACAATTCAACAACAAGGTGATTCAAAGTGCTTTACAGAGACATTAGAAACAAAAACAAATAAAAAGCATGATTTAAAACTGATTAAAACAAGCAAAAAAACTAACTAACTAAACACACACATTTCACACCTGTTCGTGCGATCTGAACCCTTATCGTAAGGGGAGCTACCAGTCCTTCTGTGGACGAGCTACTTTCTATTTTAAATTCCCTGAATTTAAAATACTCTCTAGACCCAGTCTAGACCCAGTTGGGGAGCTACCCAAAGCTCTAAACCCACTTAACAAACAAACAAACAAACAAAACAGTATATAAAATCAAAACAGATAAAATCAGAAATAGATAAGATCAGTAGTTAGTGTAAGTTTTGAAATTTAAGCTTAACAAACAAACAAAACAGTATATAAAATCAAAACAGATAAAATCAGAAATAGATAAGATCAGTGGTTAGTGTAAGTTTTGAAATTTAAGCTTAAAAGTGTGGATTTGGTGCTTTATTCAAATGCAGCTGAGAATAGGTGAGTCTTCAACCTGGATTTAAATAAACTGAGTGTTTCAGCTGATCTGAGGCTTTCTGGGAGTTTGTTCCAGATATAAGGAGCATAAAAGCTGAATGCAGGTTCTCCGTGTCTGGTTCTGACTCTGGGAACTGATAAAAGACCGGATCCAGATGACCTGAGGGATCTGGAAGGTTCATACTGGGTCAGGAGGTCACTGATGTATTTTGGTCCTAAACCATTCAGAGCTTTATAGGCCAGCATCAGAACTTTAAAGTCTATCCTCTGACGGACAGGCAGCCAGTGTAAAGACCTCAGAGCTGGACTGATGTGGTCCACTTTTTGGTCTTAGTGAGGACTCGAGCAGCAGAGCTCTGAATGAGCTGTAGTTGTCTGACTGATTTTTTAGGTAGGCCTGTAAAGATGCTGTTACAGTAATCAAGCCTACTAAAGATGAATGCATGGACTAGTTTTTCCAGGTCCTGTTGAGACATCAGATCTTTTATCCTTGAAATATTCTTGAGGTGATAGTAAGCTGATTTTGTTATTGTCTTAATGTGTGTTTTTTCTAAGTTTAGTCATTTAGTCATGAGAACACAAATCTAACACCCCCCCTTGTTCTCATGCTGTTAACCCATAGCATCTTATGCGTTTCCAAAGAACCATTTTTGAAACCCTCTGAGTCTCACTCTTGTAACTGGTTTTGTTAGTATGTCTGCAGCCATTTCTTCTGATGGACAGTGTTCAATGCAGATTTTCCTTTCATTTACTGCTTCACGAATGAAGTGATATTTCACATCAATATGCTTTGACCTCTGTCTGTTCACTGGGTTTTTACTCAACGCAATGGCCCCTTGGTTGTCCCCAAACAGTTTAGTACATGTGTACCTTTTTCTGTCCATGCCGTTTAACAGTTGGGTTAAGTACATGCTTTCCTGAGTAGTGGTTGCAAGACCAATGTATTCAGCTTCACATGTTGAGAGTGCCACTGTAGGCTGTTTCTTTGTTTTCCAAGATATTACTGGTCCCTCTTTAGTAAGTGCAAAACAGTAGCCTGTTGTACTGCGTCTGTCTTTTACAGAGGATGCCCAGTCAGAGTCACTGTAAGCAATTAGATCTAGATCCTCACTGCTTTTCTTAAAGATCAGTTCAAAGTCATTTGTGCCTTTTAGGTATCTGAGGACTTGTTTTGCCATTACTAAGTCCTCTCTCGTGGGTTGAGCTAGTGTTTGAGATAGTCTGCTAACAACCCAACTTATATCTGGTCTCGTACATGTCATGGCATATATCAAACTGCCCACTATTTCTCTGTACTCTCTTGAGTTAACAGTCTCATTTGCATCATTTCCTCCACATGTAGTAGTGTCTGTTTTTAGTTCACACGGTGTGGATCTGGGTTTGCATTCAGACATCCCAAAGCGTTCCAACATTCTTTGAATGTACCTCTTCTGATTCATCCCGATTTCACTCTCTTTTTGTATAAACTGTATCCCAAGAAAACTAGATATTTTCCCCAGGTCTTTCATGTTAAACTTTGACCTCATTGTTTCTTTGAATGTGTTTAACAAGTTAGTATTGCTAGCCGCAATGATCAAGTAATCTACCCAGATGATAACCAGTAGGGTTTCATGTCCAATGTCCTTTCTGTATACACAGTGATCAGAAAGGTTTCTTTCAAAGTCATTTTGTTCAAGGTAGTCATTCAAGAGTTTGTACCAGTTTCTACCTGATTTAACCCGTAAAGGGATTTCTTTAATTTGTACACCAAGTTTTCTCCTGACTCTGTTTGCTCAAAACCTTCTGGTTGTTCCATGTATATTTCTTCCTCAATGGGAGCATGCAAATATGCAGTTTTAACATCCATTTGGTGGATAATAAGATCATTCTGGACTGCTATTTGCATTAGTGTTCGCACAGATGTCATGTTTGCTGTTGGTGCAAATGTCTCTTGGTAATCTATTCCTTGTGTCTGGTTGTAACCTTTTGCTACAAACCTGGCTTTGAATATTTGTCCTCTTTTTCTAGTAAAAGGCACCTCCCCATTTCAAAGAGAGTTCTCCATTGCCTCTCAGTTGTGCCATTCTGATGGGGAGAATATGGCGCAGATGTCTCATGCTTTATACCCTTTTCCCTTAAAAGAGACTGGAAGGAACTGCTTATGAACTCTGTGCCATTATCCGATCTAATGCACTTAACACTGCCGTATGGTGCACAGTCAGCTAGAAACTTTGCTGTGGCCTCTGTGGTGTCACTTTTCTGTTTTAGAAAGTAAACTGACACTGCCCCTGAAAAATCATCCGTAAATAATACTTTGGCCACTTGGTTCAATGGGGCCGGCTAGATCAGTGTGCACCAACTGTAATGGTTCACTCGCTTTTGGGTCGCTTTGTCTGTTTCTGGTGTTAGTGAATTTCCCTTCTGTGCACACATTACAATCTAGCATCCCACTGCCTGTGATTTTCATGCCATCTACAACATCGGGTAGCTTTAACACATCACTAACATTACAATGTCCTAAAATTTCGTGCCATGTTTTCACATCACAAGCCAGATTAACAGTATCACAGGACATCATGTCATTGTATGATGTTTCATTGTTTACCGTTTTCAAATAGTAGAGTCTGTTGTATTCTTCGATGGAGAAGACTGTCCCATCTTTGTTCACCAGTTCATTCTGTCCCTTCTTGAAGATCACCTGTGCTCCATAGTTTGTAGCTGCCTTCACTGAAAATATGCTCTGAGGGTAGGATGGGATGAACAGGGCGTCTCTCAGTGTGATGGTGGTACAGTGTCCTTGTATGTCCCGTAGAGAGACGTTGGCATCTCCCCTCTTGAGTGCGACGTTGTTTGTCCTGGATCCATCAGCGAGCTCCATGTAGTGTTTCTCAGGATCAAAAGTCTCATCAAACTTCATGAACTTGTTCTTCTCCGTAATGATGTGTGAAGTCGCACCACAGTCCACCATTAGTCCTTCTCTCATTATGTCAGTAGGCAGAAGTCTTTGACTAACTTTAAATACAAAAGTCTGCTCTTCTTTCTTGCCCTCTAGTTTTACTACAGTTAGTTTTGCGTCATCTCTGTACTTGGTTTTTCTTCTACATGTCTCATCACTGTGTGTCGAGCTTCTATGGTAGCTACACCACTTAGGTGTTCCCTTTTGGCGACAATCTTTTACAAAATGTCCTCGGTTTCCGCATCCATGGCAGGTGATTGATGTTAAATCAACCTTCATCACATTATCCGCTTTTACTTTGTCAAATTTCTCGATTTCCTCATAACTTCGTAGGTTGCTTTTGAACTGTGTGAATGTTAAATCTTCACTGCTTTGAGTTGTGTGAATAGCAAATGGCTTGTAAGCTTCAGGAAGCCCCTTTAGAATCATAGCGATAATAAGTCCATCACTGATGACTTCTTTTGCATTTCTTAGGGAGGTCACTGCTTTTTCAGCTCGGATAATATAATCTGTCACTGTCTCATCTGGTTTCTTCTGTAAAGACGTCAGCTCTGTGTACAGTGCGATGATTCTGGGCTTGCCTTTACTATCGTAGTGGTCACGTAGTATTTTTAAAGCTTTTCTTCCATCGTCAGTCGCATCTCTCATTACCAGTGCAAGGCTTTTATCATCAAGAAACTGTATCAGTTCAGCGTAGCATTCAGCATTCTTCTCTGCATCTGGGTTAGTGGCTGATAATATAGTGTCCTTTAGACCAATGATCCGCATGTGGCCGAGAAACTTTGCCTCCCAAAGTTCGTAACTGTTTTCGTCTCCATTGAACACTAACCTCTGCCATCTTCCTCCTGTTGTGTCACGCCTGGGCCCATAACCTGTTGAGCTCGAAGAGTTTTCTTCTTCTTCGGCCATGTTCTCTTAATAATGCACACACTTGGTGGTTGATTACTTTTCCCGTTTCTTTTATTGTTAGTAACACAGGAGGGAAAACCATACATTACTTCAGCAGTTCGCGCTTTGGAACAACAGGAACAGGAAGTGAAGTAATCTATAATCACCAAAATAAAATCCTTTTCAAAATAAAATGACAATCAGAAAACTTCTTTCACAACATAAAATAAATTAATATATTTAGTCATGAGAACACAAATCTAACAAAACTAAAAAAGTTGATTTGTGTTTGGTA